AGCAGCAGCTTCAATGATTGTGTGTGACACTTTCTAAAAATCCCTACTCGGCCATTCTCCCATCTATATACACACCATTTATAAAACGGCATCCAGAGACTCACACTGCTGACATTTGGTATCCATGCTGCGCTTTGATAGTAATAGAGGTAAGAAAGGTAACACATAAGTCAGTGCTTAACATTCTAGAACTGACACTGTGCCAGCCAGCAGCAAATTTGATTGGTTGCCGTGATTTACTACATATTGTTGCCTTTTGTATTGCCTTATTAATAAATAACTCTGTAATTGTGTTTAAAAAATTTAATTTAGTCTAAAAAAATAATAATCTCCACATATCGACAGTAATTTACGTCTACAGCTAATACTACTATTGTTTTTAACTAAACAAATTTTCACCAAATATTCAAAGCATCATGGCTGTTTTTAAAATGAGTTTATTTTTGCTATATGCTGTTATTGGGTGTTAGTATACAGTACATTTTATTAGTATTTAAAGAAAAGCCCGTTGTTTGATCTTGGCATGGCTTTTTTTTTTTTACCCCGGTAGAATAGATGACTAAATACAATTGGAATTAATGTCATATATCACCTGAAATACTAACAATTTGAGTAAAATTATGTAAGTCACACGTCTGATATTTAAAAAATGTCTTCTACAGTTATATACATCAATTAAACTGATGAATGATTAAATATTTTGTTATAAATGGTCATAAAATGTTTTCCTGTTTATAATATAATATTATTTAGAAATTACATTCAGATGCTATGGCGGTCAGTTAGTTTCTTACGGCTTACACTTAAGTGATGTCACGTACTAAGTTTAACAGAGCTTGACAGAAGTAAATTATTATACTTTGATACACATGCTGATAAAAAGTCTGGTTATACAGGTAAGAAAAAAAAGTAACTAAATAAGCTAATAAAAAAAAGCAAAAACTCATCTCCACAATGAAAATGATCATATGGTCCAAAAGTGGCTTGACAACTGAGTTTAAATTGCACATAACAATGATATTATAAATTGGTTAATTTTTCATGTAGTTATAATTTGTTTTGTGTGCAGTTATTCTGGCAATGAGCTTGTAGTTTTGTTCAGAATTGGAATGATCTTTATGTAAATACAGGTCACTTTACTAACATTGGCACGGCACGGTGGAGTTGGGCTATCCAATCTTCAGCTTGGACTTGGCCAAACGTTCATATCGTATATTAATTTACAAGCAGATGGGTAACTCATGGGTACAAACACTAACAAATAGAACCAAAATGAGCAATTCCATCCTTTATTCATTAGGACTTGAAATTTTGTTGACTTCTGTTGACGTCTAGATTGTGTATCTTCTGGGGTGAGATGGTTTATTGTTCAAATGGACACATCAAGGACGGGAACCTCTGGGCTCAATCCTCTCTGCAACAAAAAACTGTTTTCTGGACACCTGTCACTCACCATCAAAATAAAGAATTATTGCCTGGCTTGTTGTAGAGTTCTCACTGCTATGGTCCTTTGCAATTTTATGGCACAGAAAGATCCTCTACACTCCTGTCTTGACCCACTTAAGGGTTTGTGCTTTTCTTTTTGAGAAGAGTCTATAATATATAGGAGGTTTCATACACTCGTCTCCCTAAGATACATAGTGCCAATGTTGTAGGAAACCTTCCTCATTCTGACAGTTGTCAAGGGCTGTTTTGGCTGTTTCTGGCCATTGTTCAACTCCAAGAAGTAGCAGATGCCTGGGATTTCCTTTGGAAAGTTGTCTGGAAGCTCCTCACGTGATCGGGAAACAAAGTGAAAAGATTCCTCCTCTTTTAAAAGCCTGCATGGAAAACAAAATCCACATATAGTCATAAAATGCACCAACACTTAAAAAAACACCAATGATAACAGATCAAGACATTCCAGTTTCAAGTACATTATTTATCTGATTCTGATCTTTTAATGTAAAATTACAGGGGTTCCCACCCTCTCTAAGGATTCTTGTGCTTCCAGTGAAGGGCACCGTTAATGCAAAATGAACAGCAGATATAGCAGCATTTTAAACAATTGCACACTTCTAACCCTGTTCCAGCATAACCATGTGCACAAAGCCAGCTCCATAAATACATGGTTTGAATGGTTTTGTGTGGGGGAACTCACGTGATCACAATGTATGCAATCCTACTAAACACCTTTGGGATTTATTGGAAAACTAAATGCAAGCCAGAACTTTTCCTCAACTCACAAAAGCTTTTTTTGCTTTATGTGCACAAATACCCACAGACACACTTTAGGATCTTGTGGAAATCCTCCCTAGCAGATTGAAGAATTTTATAACTGCAAATGGGGCCAATTACATTTTAATGGCCATGGTGTGTCGTCCAAAAAACTTTGGCCTCATCCTATATATCTACATTTTTATGTTGCAATACCAGATGTCACCAACAGAGGTATTGCACATACATTGCAGCCCTTAATTCTGTCATAGCCTAGTAATTGTGGGAAGGGGGATGACACGTCTGTGAAAGTACAGTAAACTTCCTGCTATCTGGCATCCATGGGGATTGGTAGATTCCGGATAAATGTTGTTTCTGGTTGCTTGAGTTACTATTAAAAATAGGTCTAACTAATGCCATACCCCATACTATATCATACAATAGTATGGTGTACTATTGGGGTACTACTATGGGGTACATACACTCTGTATTGACTTCATAGTAATATTGAAATGCAGTAATCAAAAGCAAATTAAGACAAATTGCACACAATCGTTTCCAGGATAAAACAAGCCGCTGATCAGCAGAACAGTAAGTACACAGGGGAATTTTTTGGTTAGATGAGAGTTCTGGTTAGTTGAATTCTGGATAACAGAGAGTTTACTGTACATCTAAAAATTAAGTGCTCATTTTAACTAATTATATTTAAGGCAGATGTAAACCCTACCTAAATGACACTAATCATAAACAATCACAACGTTTTAAGGGGCAACCATAGCTTTAACACAAGCAGTCCTTTAATGAATACCTCCCCCCCCTGATGGCAGACCACCTAGTTACATATGTATGTTCCTCACCATTCCAGCCATGTTTATTGTGTGACCCTACCTGCCACTGCACTGCCTTTCCCACAAAAATCTTTCCCATCAGGGCCTGCCACAAACTCATTAATTTATATGGAAGGGTGCTTTCTTTATCCTTTAGATACTGAATCATGTAACTAGTTAAAATGATGAAAGTCTGAGGAAATTTAAAAATAAGGCACTTACAATATTCTAATATGCAGGAGCATTTTTCATTTTCTGCTGTTAGCTCCTTAGAATAAATTTATAAAGTAAAAATCATCATAAGAATAAAATATTTGCCAGTATTTCAAGGTCAAAATGTGGGATTTAAACTGAGCTATGATCAGCCCAAAATGTGCCAATATTTGTACGAAGCATCTCATGATGAATGCACAATGTTTAGGATAAAACACACAAGAATCTATAATGTGGGCCTATCTATAAAGCTGGGAATCACCTATTGCGGGCTTCAACTTCTGAAAATGCTTGTCTCCTGACTGTCATGCTTCAGCTTCAATACTAAGTAATTGACACAGAAAAAATGTAAGGTCTACTTCAACCTTTATTCTAAACAATCAGTTTTTATTAGGTTTTCAGTACAAAAAATACAAACAGTAGAAAGAGTAGGGGGCAACACGGTACAGATGTTGATAAACCCGGTAAAATACGAGGCACTGATATTAAAGAGTCACACATTCCATTAGGGACAATCACATGCCCCAGGGAACAGTAAAGTATAGGGCCCATAGGTGGGTTCCTGAAGACTCGAACCAGTAGTGTAAGTAAGCTGTGGGTCCAGTAATTACAGTAAAGACAGGTCGCAGGCCATATTTCCACAGAAGGTTATCTCGCGGTTTACAATGCGAGGAATGCCGCAGAGTCCATATACAAAACCCAAGGGGCCCATAAGGTTGCACATTGGGGTTGAACCTTTATTCACATGCTTGTTCTGGGGCTTAGTTGGGTGAGATACCGAAGCCAGGCAAAGCCAGGTCACTAACATTTTTAGAATAAGGAGAGCAATGGCAACTATTTATGTCTCTCACAACAGGTGTTCTTTCTCATTTCTAAAAAACATTGTTTGTACATATTGTAATTACATTTGAACATTGGAGAAGCCATATTTACTTAATTCGTTCGGAGGCTCTGAGTCCTACTAACCAGTGCAGCACAAAGGTTGTGTTTTACTGTTCCTTTCCCTCATTGGGAGTCTACCCGTCAGGTATGACTGATGGAAAACAATGCACTATCTTTGTAGGCAGAATTACTGGCGTAAAACACAACCAGCCACCAGAAGAACAAACTAAAAATCTGTTTATTTAAATAAGGGATATATGCGACGCCAAGCACATATACACGGGCAAATCACAACTAATATATTTAAATCTTTAATCTTTATTTTTTTATGATTTATATTTTATTTATTTTTGGAAGGCAGGAACACGACATACCCTTTCACAACACAAGTTCAAATGGTTATTGAAATTATTTCTTACAGCCCTAGAGACATAAACACATTATACAGTCAACAACATAGATTAGGCCTTGCCAAATCCCAGGAGAAATAAAATGTACCTGCCTGCACAACCGTGATCTTAAATAAGCATGCCTCTCTGTCAGCAACATGTTCACTGCTCTATTTCTATCCTTCCTTTAAAACACATTATAAAACCTCTAAACATATAAAGAAACCACTACTGACCACCAATATACTTTAAATATACATATGTGCCCTCATTCTAAAATGTATAGATTCTCTTATCAAACCGGGATATTAAGTTACTGAATTGCTCCGTGGACATGAAGTAGATCCAGCCAGCCCAGATAACATAAAAGGTGTTATATTGGTCTCAGAGTTGATAGGTCTGTTGTCTGGTCACCATCATTTCTTATATCTTAAAGAACCTTTTCTAATCGAGGGGTTGCTATTAGTTTTCCATTAACATAGAATAAGGGATTTAGCAGCATTTAAAAGATAGGGCACTAGAGAAGTGCCCTATCTTTAAAGAAGTGGGTGTCTTATGGAATAACATGGCCAACACTGTGTAGGACTTGGATTTGTAAGTGTTGTTCCACTAATGTTCATGATATTATAGAGCAATTCCCCCATAAGTGGAGATATGCCCCCTGCTGCCCACATTCCTCCAGAAGCTCTTGAAGATGCCCTGATACATGCTACAGTGCTAAATGAGCTATGCTCTATGCCACCGGGAATACAATTTGTAGCAGGTCCACTCCATTTTAGAACTAATGGAAGACATGGGTTTTACATTTTTATGGGCCTCGGTCAACATAACACCCAAGTCTCTCTACCACTTACTAGTAAAATACGGGTGTGTTTGAGACTCTAGTCCTAACAGCAGTTTACAGGAGAAGGATTAGTACTTAATATCCCAGTTTCTTTGTAAAACACAGATTTTCAAATTCTGATAACACATCCACTATTCTACAAGAGTCACCAAGGCCCTAAAAAAATGCTGTAGCTCACAGTATCTCAATGCTTCCATTGGGAACAAGACCCACTCCTATCTCAATTGTCCCAGGAGTTTAAGCTCACCATTAACAGGAAATCTCAAGCACAGAATATCCCCATAAGGCCCATATTTCCCAAATCTGCCCACATATTCCCCAGGTCCAAATCATGGAAACCATCCAACTGAAAAGGTGGAAAATGAGCTGTTGGTAAAGAATATTTAACATTTAACCTATCCCACACTCTTGGGCTGGGTTCACACCTAGGCATATCGAATATGTGCGTTTGTCGCGCGTTTTGTGTTGTGAGTTTTTACCACGGTTCGCGGCAAAAAAACGTGCAACAAGCCCACGTTTCCGAGGGCTACCTGGCTGTATCCCAATGGATATGAGCAACAAAGACACCCCAAAGAAGCTCCTGTACTTCTTTGGGCGTAGGGCGTTTTGTAGCGCGTTCATACAGCCTGTAATACGCCCAGGTGTGAACCATACCCATAGGAAATAATGGGATTTCGAGCGTAGGAACGCACTACAAAACGCCCAGGTGTGAACCGGGCCTTAAAGTCATTAAAGGAGTGGGGAGGTATATACAGATAGTCATCTATGCTGCTGGGTGAGTAAGGACTCATGGACCAGATTAAGTCTGCTGATCATCTTTTTAAAGGGGACTTATTGTTTATTCCACGCATCCAAGTTCATCAAATATTTTTAAGTAAACCCGTGAGAGCAGAAATTTGGAGGGCTAATATTGCTGATTTGTTCTATAAACTGCAAGGTTCAGAGCTGTAATTATGCTCTTGGCTTCATTTAATTACTGATTCACTTAAAATATCAAAGTATATCTAAAGGCAATTTTGTTTTTATTTTGGATAGGTCAGGGAGGGTTAAAACCACTGTAATTTGTTTTGCCATCTGTATCTCATTATGAAGATTTCCCATTACTTCCTGTTCCATAGATGGGAAGGGATAGAATATATCGACAATCTCAAACAATTCATCCCCACACATTACCTCCTCATGTATCACTTGCCCCTCCTTACCATCTTGTTTTGAATTGTATTGTGATTGTAATCTCTTCCTTATATTGTAAAGCGCTGATCAAACTGTTGGCACTATAATGACTCCTGTATAATATTAATAATGTAAGGGAAATCCCCTCTCAGTGAGTCCCCATTGGAGCTCTAACCCCTCACAACTCTATCCAAATCTAAATAAACATTTTGCCTGTAGTTAAGTTTTATGTTTCCCTATCAGTGCTACATTAAATGTATCTGAGGGCCAAAGTTTTTTGTTTTTTAAATTTTGTA